TCGATTTCTCCCATCCAAGTACTAACCAGGCCCGACCCTGCTTAGCTTCCGAGATCAGACGAGATCGGGCGCGTTCAGGGTGGTATGGCCGTAGACGGCCTGTCGATTTCTACAGCTGGAAGTGAACCTAGAAATCACTCACCTCAGAAACCTCTTTTCTGGTAGGAGAGGTCCTAGGGGGACAGATATCTTCTGCTGAAGTCCTCAATGCATACAGGAAGTGAAGGGCAGAGGGGAGGCCAGTGCACTGAGCACCATCATGACCCCTTCCCCAACATGGGCTCTCATCTGGCCGACTTACCCAAGATGGCGCAGACAGGATGGGATTTGCCCAGCTCAGTGGTTGTGGGTATGGGACTCCCACTCAGGCCTCTAGCCCCAGCCCAGTCCTTCCTGATGGGGAAGGGGCAGGAGTATATCAGTGTCCCCAGTCCCAGCCAAGCAGGAGCAGGCCACCCATCTCACCCTCAGCCTGGCACCCTGAGGCCACACTGTGCCAAGGCCTAGCCTGAGCCATCCTTGCTCTATGAAGCCATAGGGATCCAGAACGAAGATATTCCAGGCATATAAGTCCATAAATTGATGAAAACTGTTCTTACAAATTGCTTCTGCCCATGCTCCCTGAGTCACTGCAGTCAGGGCCTCAAAGATCTCTGAACTGGGCCTTCCAGATGATCACTTCTATTCCCCGAGCAACATACACACTGTCTCTCTCTATTTCATTATTTTTTATGTGACCAGAGCCTTCTTTACTAAGAAACTATTCCATGAAAATGTGATTTTCATCTTATTTTGAAAACCCCAAACGTGCACATATCTGAGTTTGTGAGAGCTTAAGTGCTAAGCACTAGTGGTTCTCAAACTTGAGGGTCCCTCAGAATCCCCTGGAGGCTTGTTACACAGATTGCTGGGCCCCATTCCCAGAGATTCTGATTCAGTCAGTCTGGGGTGGAGCCTGAGAATTTGCATTTCTTTTTTTTTAATGTTTATTTATTGACTTTTGAGGGAGAGAGAGAGAGAGAGAGAGCAGGGGAGGGGCAGAGAGAGAGGTATACAGGAGACAAAGAATCCCAAGCAGGCTCCGCACTGTCAGCCCAGAGCCAGGCACAAGGCTCAAACCCACGAACCATGGGATCATGACCTGAGCTGAAATCAAGAGTCAGAGCCACCCAGGTGCCCCGAGAATTTGCATCTCTTACAAGTTCCAAGTGTGCTGATGCTGCAGGCCCAGGGACAGCACTTGGCCTCTGCAATAAACTATGTCTAGGAAATCTTGGCTCCGTTAAGCATGCCTTCACAATGCAACAGGGCTTAACACCCCTTCCAAAGAGATGATGTCTCACCTTGGTGCTCTGCTTGAGTTGTCTTCCACATGAAATATTAAGAACAAGGCTTGTTAATACCCTCAGCCTCTGCCTTCCTGTGATACCGTCTGCCCAGGCTCATGTTCTCTGCTCTGCAAATGATCCAAACAGGGAACTGGTATCGGCTCCAAAAAGACTCATCTCTTCCTCGTAGAGTTCAAAGTTAAGCAGCTGGGCATGACATGGTGACTATATCGACGCTGGCAAGACCAAGAATGTTGACAGAATAATTCAAGGAGAAAATGTAATGGCACTTGAGGGGTAACGGATGGTTTTGTCTTGAAATTTCCAGATCAGCTATTTATACGATCTCAAATCTCAGGTTCAAGCCCGTGTCCCTTTGACAGACAGGAGGCAGTAAAATTCTTCACCAGAAGAGAAAACAAAAAGCAAAATCCTCTTCAGAAATGATAAAGCTGGTGTTCATTAACATTTAAAGAGGGAGTATTTTTTTTATACTCCAATAACTCTTTTATTCTTTTGGGTGAATTTAACAGACAGATTTCCAATTCTGCTGCCTATGAAAATAAGATAATTGATTTCAGAGAAATGTTATTTACAAATTAGGTAATTTTCTCATTTGTATTTTAATTTCTTGCTTAGTTGTGGTCAAAAATCCTATGAGCTATGCATTTTAATTTATAATTAAATAACCAAGTAATAATAGAATATTACTAATACGCTGGTCTTAAAAAATGACTACTGTAAAAAAACTCATAGGGACAAGTCATTGTAAAGAAAACAGAGAAATACAGGTTAAAGTTGAAATTTCGTTCTTAATTTGCCATTATTACACTCTCAACTCAATTCCAGAATTGCCTAGCTGTGTGCTAGGCCCTATGGGAAAACCAATAAATTAAGAGACATGAAAGAACCTCACAAATGTTAAAATATGAAAAAATTGCATTATTATTTAATAGAAGCATACAATAATGTTGCTGCTCTCAAAATAGTTTTAGTACTCCCAACAGCAAGCCACCTGAGTCAGCCTTCTTATGACATGAGCATCTTTTCCACAGCACCACTGACAAGCATCATTAGGGGCTATTTAAACCATCTCACACGCTCAAAACATCTCCAGATAGTCCATACTGATGGGACACACTGAATAAGGCCAATACCTCATCCAATGGAAACCCATAGAAACGTGAACACAGCTTTCATGGCCTCCACCCTAACACCTCAGATGCACTTTCAACAATTCCAGTTGTATTAGCAGAATCCTTTTTTATGTATGTGTATATACCTAAGTACACACACACACACACACACACACACACACACGCTTAAAGGGAGAGATTGAGAGAAAGATTAATTTCAAGGAATTGGTTCACACAGTTGTGGAGGCTGGCAAGTCTGAAATCTATAAGACCGACTGGCAGGCTGGAAATTCAGGTAAGAGTTGATGTTGCAGTATTGAGGAAAATTTGTTCTTCGGGAAACCTGTCTTTGCTCTTAAGGCCTTCAACTGATTGGATAAGCCTCACCCATATTAGGGAGGATATTCCGTTTTACTCAGAGCCTATTGATTTAAATATTAATTACATCTAAAATATACCTTCACAGCAATGTCTGGACTAGTGTTTAATCAAACAGCTGAGCACCATAGCCTGGCCAGGTTGACACATAAAATGAACCATCATACCGGTCCTCCCCTGCTTTGGTCACATTGATACATCAATTAGCATTCTGGCCTGTGAAGGGGCAAAGACTTGGCTCTTTGGCTTTACGTTTCTCTGAAGAGATGTAGAGTCACACTGACTGGTTGGCTTGAGTGATGAATCCAGGAGGCTTCACTGAATATTTGAGGCTAAGTCCACACAAGACCTTCTACTTTAGAATCGCCTGTCTGCCGAGTCCGACTTCTTCCTGCCTGTGGTGAGCTCCGGGGGCAGGCCCCTTCCAGGCTGAGGGCTGTGGTTCTGGAAGCTGCACTTGGCACTTGGTTTGGTTGGGTTAAACAGACAGGATTCCCGTAACCCTGGGATCGTGACCTGAGCCGAAATCAAGAGTCAGACGCTCAGCTGACTGGGCCACCCAAGCGCCCCTGACATCTGGATATCTATCTGACTTCTTTGCATATTCCTTGGTTGATTCAGAAATTGGAACAGATGAAGATGTGACTAATTATCACCTCTAAATCCTCAACGGCTTCGCCTCTCAGAATGTATTCTAGCTTGTAAATCTAGCTGATTTAAGCACCTTAAAATCAGCACTCAGTACAGAATAACTGAGGTGCTCCTCCTTTGATTCACGGCCTTTGGAACAGCCCAGTCAGTGCTGTCTGTTCAAAGCAGTGTGGCCTGTGGCACATTGATCAATCCTCCTTAGCCTCAGTCTTCTTGTTCACAAAATAAGGCTATTTTTACCTGCTTCATAGAGATATTGTGAAGGTTGAATTAAATGAGGCTATGAATTTAGAGCATCCAATGAAAACGCCCAAGAGATAGCAGGTGCTCAATAAATAGTGGCTCATTTTGAGTCACTTTCAGATAAGTTCTCCTCCCACAACTTGCATTAGTTTAATGAACTTCTTAGTACAAAAAGCAGAATTTTATACCTGACTGGTTTCAGAGCTGAATCATTTGGGTGTGACCTGTTGAAGAAATCCCACTCAGGTTCGGTAGCCTCTGCTTCTCAGCTCACACCCTTCCTCCTTCTTATAAATCATCACACATTTATTGTCTGATTTAGGCCTGCTCTCAGTTCTTTAGAGACAGTTTTCTACCAGCCATATATCAACCTAATTATAATCTCTAGGTTTATGGTATCCCTAATTATCATACAGGAGATCTTGTCACATGTAGGCTTTCTTCATTTACTTGTTTGGTAAACACATATTGACCCTGTTACCCATGCACTAGGCTCTGGATTGAGTGCAGAAACTGCCAAAATGAAAGGTCCAGTCCCTGTCTTCAAAAGCTTCCAGACCAGTGGGCAAGACAAACCACAAAAGGCCAACACAACGCAGCACAGTTAAGGCTGCCATGGGAAACAATGAGGGTCAGATGGGCACAGAAGAGGGCCATCACAAGGGCCCTGGAGGTTCATAACAGGCTTCTTAGAGGACAAGATGCCTCAGCTGAATGTATAAGAAGCAGAGAAAGCAAAGAAGCACCTTAACTTCAGAGGAAATGGTCCATTGAAGAGCAAGGCATGGGGAAGAAAGAGGATGGCAAACAAGAGGAACGTCAATCTTGTTAGGGTCAGAGGCCAGGGTACCCATGGGGGCAGTGGACCCAGGGACCCACCACAAACGGTCATGGGTGCCCCGCAAATACTGTTGTTATTATCCCATACACAAGGAAGGGCAATTGAAAGATTTTACGCAGAGAAGTAACATGATCCAAATGGCATTTAAAAAGATACCTAGGACCTTGGTGGGAGGAGAGAAATGTTCTTTTTTTTTTTTTTTTTTTTTTCAACTTTTTTTTAATTTATTTTTGGGACTGAGAGAGACAGAGCATGAACGGGGGAGGGGCAGAGAGAGAGGGAGACACAGAATCGGAAACAGGCTCCAGGCTCCGAGCCATCAGCCCAGAGCCTGATGCGGGGCTCGAACTCACAGACCGCGAGACCGTGACCTGGCTGAAGTCGGACGCCCAACCGACTGCGCCACCCAGGCGCCCCGAAATGTTCTTCTTTAATAGGCTTTGCAGTCCTATATATGAAGGCACAAAATCCAGAAGGCGGTCCACAGCACATTTCTTTGTTGCTGGATGTTAAAGATTTTGCAACTGATAGGAGAGGTTACAATGCCCTCCCAGTAAAGTAAGCGAACTGAGTCATGCACCTAAGAATTGGGTGGGACATCACACTGCCACCTAGACCGTGTCCCTGCTTCGATGCAGGCATCGTTGTACAGCTGGCATAAGGTAGCCATGACAGCTGAGGCTTGAGAACAAAAGTGACTGGTCCACGTAATACAATCTGCAATCGTGGGCAGAACGCCAGGGTGTCAGCTCCTGATGTACCTGTCATTCTCTGTCCACCGTGGGCTGTCACCACGGAGGTGGCCACAAGTGAAGAGGAAGTGAAATGGACAACTGGTTTCTCACGTCAGATCTCCCGGGAAAGAAAAACCGTATTTGGTTTCTTCGTGCACAGACATGTCGACGATGATCCTCACACAGAAAATTTTTGTTTTATTCTCCATTTTGAAATAATAGCCTAATGAGGTACTCAGTCACCTGCACTCTGTAACAGCAACAAATTTGAAGAGGTTTACTTTAAGAAGAGAAGCATTTTAAGAGATCACTTACATTTTCTTACAGATTTCTTAAGCATATTGGGTCTTCTCAAGCACCATGCCTCATTCTAGAATGTCAGGAAATACAAAGACGAATTCCCAAAGGAATGAGCCTTGAGCCATTCTGACCCTAGCAGCATATTGTAGCATTCTACCTTATAAGTCGTAAGTTGAAAAAGATGGGATCTGGTCAACAGGGGAACGAGGGAAGTATTCTTGTAAAGGAGGGAAGGAGGAAACTAAGATAAGAATGAGTGAGACTAGAACACTTCAGTGGCTCAGTCGGTTGAGTGTCCAACTCTTGATTTCGGCTCGCGTCATGATCTTGCAGTTTCACAGGTTCAAGGCCCTCATCAGGCTCTGCATACTGACCATATGAAGCCTGCTTGGGATTCTCCCTGTCTCTGCCCTTCCCTCACTCGCACTCTCCCTGACTCTCTCAAAATAAATACATAAACTTCAAAACAAAACAAAACAAAAAAAAGAATGAGTGAAGGATCAAAGCTGGAGAGCTGGACCAAGGCGTTCTCTCACCAAATATAAAGATGACAACAGGCAAGTGGTTTGTTTCACTTTCTAATAATAATTGCAGCTCATAATTATGAACCACTTAGCATGTGCAGTCATTGTTCTTAGAACTTAACGCGCATTAACTCGGGATTCTCGCACAACACATTGAGATGGATACTATTATTGTCCCACCTTATAGGTGAGGAAACTGAGGCACAAAGAGATTGAGCAAGTCAGCCACCATCATACACCTAGAGATTGAACATAGGGAGTTTGGCTTTTAACCTGACATTAGGAGGAATTGCATTTAGCTGTGCTTTGTTCTTGTCAACTTCCTAACAGCCGATTCGAACAGGATTGTTAAAATCATTTGTTCTGAGTTAGAAAGAAATGCCTTGTCCTTAATCTATACCTTGGGGAATTTATAATTTCTTGGTTGTACTTCCTTGTGGCCCATATTGTTTTGAAAAGTGTAATTGTAAGACATAAATAGTTATGAGTACTGGTTTAAAGATTAAACAATTGCTTACTTGGGCAAATTCAAATCAATTTAAGGCTGAAGTATCTTCCTTATGAAAATTTTACTTATTTTACATGTACGAATTTGTTTTTATTCTTGCTGAACTCCAGGACTTAGAAATAGACATATTTATTTAGTTTGGCCTACATCTAGTATGTGTCGCTCGGTCTATTCTTCAGAGTTTATTGTATCTCTTAATCTTCTACACATGCAACCAAGGACCTCAGTGATGAGGGCATTGGAAAAGTCTAAACAAACAATAAATTCTGGCTACAAGATTCCCTATAAATGGAGTGCTTAGTAAAATAATGCTTGGGAACGTGATATTGGATTGATTAGATCTTTATGAAGTCACCAAATTATAAATTTCCAGCACTTGCCGTAACTGGTAATATTTTTTTCTTATCGCCTGAAATATTTGTGATCAGTATTTTGTACATGATAAAACAAATTAATTCCTTCTTTTGGGAAGCAAATGCGATCCAGTACTATGGTTCAAAGAAACCTAGAAGCCATGATGTCTTTCTGCCGAATCCTGGAGCTTCAATTATTACTCACAAATCTTCTCTTTTCCTTGTATTGTCCAAACAACTTAGCCATTCGACAAGTGTTTGTTAAATACTGTGCTCTAAGGACTGAGAAAAGGATGGTTAGTCTTCATGAGAAGATGCAGTAACAATAAAGCATAAAAGATAGAAGCCCAGAATGCAATGGAAATGCATAAAGAGAGTGTAAATACCAGGAAAACACATCAAACTGTTGGAGCAGTTCTGCCTAAGTGGTGGGACTTCAGTTAACTCTTTGCAGTTAAATCTTGCATTTCAAGGTCTTTTCCAAGTTTTATTTAATGGCCAAAAATATTTTTATAAAGGGAATTCTAAAAAGAAAATATATTTTTAGTGTATTCCTACGCTAAGTTTTAAGATATTTTAAATAGATAAAAATATTTTGAATATCAAAATAAATTTTCAGATTTATTCTGTCACAAGGCATCATTTTTCAGGCTATGGCCATAGACCCCATTCGACCTAATGAAGACACCATTGGATAAACACCCTTCTGAATTTAAAAAGATCTCAGGCAGCTCTCACCTCCATGTTGCCCCCCGCCCCCCGCCCCCGACCATGAGATCTCATCTAACTCCTTACAGCTCTCTTCATGGGCAGAAACCAAAGAATATAAGCTGGAGTCACATGAAATTTTAGAGATTCCATAAATTTATCCTCTGATTCCTTCCCCAGAACCTCTGATGTCAACAAAACGACAGATTACATTCATTTGTCTGAGAAAAATCAAAAGCATCAGCAATTATAACAAAATAGAAAATCATGATTATGTCTAAAGACCAAGATGATTTAGATGGAAACCAACCTGAAGCAACAACCAGAACCTTTGCAGATGTTCTGTTATTGGTGTCTGTTTGGTAGAGTATGTTTTTCCAATGTGAAGGAAAAAATTATAGTTCTCGTTTCTTTGCAGTGCTAAAAGTTAATCAAGAATAATTTTTCCATGTGTTAAATACGTTTCCTAGTAATAAAATAATAACACATGCTTGTTAGAACTTAAAGTCCAGAAAAAGTTTAATAAAGAAAACAAAACCCCACATAATCCAGCTGAGAAATGCCCACTTTTACTGTTAAGTCCCTGTATAGTTGGTTTTATCCTCATTGTAGTGTATCCTGAGCTTTTCATTTAACAGTGTTTTGGAAGCATGTCATTACTTTTTTTTTTACTGTTTACCTTTTTTTAACGTTTATTATTGAGAGACAGAGAGACACAGAGTGTGAGCAGGGGAGAGGTAGAGAGAGGGAGAGACACAGAATCTGAAGTAGGCTCCAGGCTCTGAGCTGTCAGCACAGAGCCCCCGACACGGGGCTGGAACTTGCAAACTGCGAAATCATGACCTGAGCCGAAGTCGGCCGCCTAACCAACTGAGCCACCCCGGCGCCCCTATGTTTATGTATGTATTTATTTATTTATTTATGTTTATTTTTTTTAAACGTTTATTTATTATTGAGAGACAGAGAGACACAGAGTGTGAGCAGGGGAGAGGTAGAGAGAGGGGAAGACACAGAATCTGAAGTAGGCTCCAGGCTCTGAACTGTCAGCACAGAGCCCGACACAGGGCTCGGACTTGCAAACTGTGAGATCATGACCTGAGCCGAAGTCGGTCGCCTAACCAACTGAGCCACCCAGGCGCCCCTATGTTTGTTTGTTTATTTATTTATTTATTTACTTTGAGAGAGAGAGACAGAGACAGAGAGAGAAGGAGAAAGAGAATCCCAAGCAGACTCCACAGTCAGAGCAAAGCCAGAGGTAGGGCTTGAACTCACGAACTGTGAGATCATGACCAGAGCCAAAATCAAGAATCAGATGCTCAACCGACTGAGCCACCCAGGTGCCCCATGTCATTATTTAAAAAAAATTTTTTTTCATGACTATAATACTCTATCGAGTGAATATATCACTTAGCAATGTTTCTTATTTCTGTATATTTAGATGACTTCTATTTTTTGCTATTATGTTATAATGAATGTTTTACGTTAAGAATAGCTTATATAAACATCTAAAGGACTCAATAGTCATAAATCAAGATCAAGGAAAAAGTTTGAAGACACTGATACATGTTTTTACAGGTTATGAATGACAAATCATCTTTGGTTTCCCACCTTTATGGTGTTTTTCACACGACCAACTAATTTAATAACACCTACATTTGTAAGTACTTCAATCTATTTGTTTTGATATCCTGCTTTATTTCATAAATTCTTTAAGGGAGCTTAAAGTTTTTGCTTCTTTACTAGAATATGTATTAGTTCTATTTGCTGCGTAACAAATTATCCCCAAACTTAGCTTAGACTAACATGTATAGTCTCCCACAATTTGTGTGGGCCAGGTGTCCAGGTACAGACTACTGGGCAATTCTGGTTGGAGGTGTCTCACGAGGTTCTTGCCAGGCTATCAACCGGCAGTTAGTGTCTCAAATTCACTTCTAAGCTCGCTAAAATTGTAGTTGGCAGACCACAGTTCCTTGCTGGCTGTTGGGTGGAGGCCTTGGTTTCTCACCTTGTGGGCCTCTCCAAAGAGGTCCTCATGACATGACAACTGCTTCCCCCAGAATGAGAGATCCAAAAGAGACATAAAGATAGAAGATACCCCAAACAGAAGCTACAGTCTTGTGTAACTTAACCATATCATCACTTTTACTCTCTTCTCTTGGTCACACAGGCTAACCTCAGTACAGTGTGGGAGAGGACCCCACGAAGGTGTGAATACCAGGGAAGGGGGTCATTTGGGTTTTATGGTGAAACCAAAAAATCTTGGAGACTGACTACCACATAGAGCAATTTTTGTGAGGACCCAAAATGTGTATGCAATAATCTTTTGTCAAAACTGTCTTCATGTGCCTCTACTTACAAAAGAGTTTAGGGGTGCCCGAGTGGCTCAGTCAGTTAAGCGACCGACTTTGGCTCAGGCCATGATCTCACAGTTTGTGGGTTCGAGCCCCGCGTCGGGCTCTGTGCTGACAGCCCAGAGCCTGGAGCCTGCTTCGGATTCTGTGTCCCTCTCTCTCTGCCCCTCCCCCTGCTTGCAGTCTCTCTCTCTCTCTCTCTCTCTCTCTCTCTCTCTGTCTCAAAAATAAACATTAAAAAATTTAAAAAAGAAAAGAGTTTACCATTACGTGGTAAATTTGGATATCCGAATATCCTACAACTGAGCAACTCTAGTCCTGGTTTTGACTTACTAGAGCCTTTCAGTCTTTCGTGTGTCCACCAGGGCTCATGTAGAAGAATGTTCTGGGCAGCAGTGCTTGCAATAGCAATCAATCAATAACAGTCCAGATTCCCGTAATAGAAAAAATAAAATAAAATTAATGGTGGGTATTGATATAATAAAATGCTATACAGCAGTGACACTGAATGGACAAGAGCTGCCCACCTCACTACAGTTAGTTGCATCTGTTGAATGCAAAAAGCAAGACACAGAATATCTTATACTACAATCCATTAATATAAAATTCCTGAAAGATAAAAACAAGTAACGTATGGTGAAGAGGTCCACTTATAAGAACTGAAATGATGAAGTGAAGCAAGTATATAATGATCCAAAGCTCAGGAGAGCAGTAACCTCCTGA